GTGACTTCTTTAAGATGGAAAAAATAAATAAATAAAAAATGTTAATAATAAAAAGGCAATTACTACCTATCTATCAACAATTACTTTCAATGTAAATGGATTAAATGCTCCAATCAAAAACATAGGGTGGTGAATGGAACAAAACAGGACCCTTAAATATGCTGCCTACAAGAGACTGACTTCAGATCAAAGAACACACATAGACTGAAAGTAAAGAGATGGAAAAAGCTATTTCATGAAAATGGAAGCGGAAAAAAAGAAAAAGCTGGAGTAGCAGTATTTATCCCAGACAAGACAGACTTTAAAACAAAGGCTGTGACAAGAGACAAAGAAGGACTCAGTAATCCTACTTCTAGGTATTTATTCACAGTAACCCAAAACGCTACTTCAAGGGGACATGTACATCCATATATTCATTGCAGCATTGTTTACAGTAGCTAAGATATGGAGGCAGCTGAGTGTCCATCAATGGATGAATAGATAAAGAGGAGGTGGTACATATATACAATGGAATATTGCTCAGCCATGTAAGGGAATGGGTTCTTGCCATCTGCAGTGTCATGGATGGACCTGGAGGGTGTTATGCTGAGTGGAGTGTCAGACAGCGAAAGACAGATGCAATGCGATTCACTTATATGTGGAATCTAAAGAACAAAATAAACAAAGAAAACACAAACATGCTCATATAGATACAGAGAATATTTTGATATTGGTAGATAGGAGGAGGGTTGAAGGGGTAGATGATAAAAGGGGAAGGGATTAAGAAGTACAGATTGGTAGTTACAAAACAGTCATGGGGATGTAAAGAAAAGCATAAAGAATATAGTCAATGATATGGCAATAACTATGTATAGTGCCAGGTGGGTACTAGACTAATCAGGAGAATCACTTCTTAAATTATACAAATGTCTAATCATGATGGTGTATACCTGAAATTAATATAAAATAATATTGAATGTTTACTGTAAATAAAATATTTTAAAAGGGGAAAAAAAGGTGAAGGGGAATAAGGGGTTCAAATTTCCAGGTATAAAACAAGTCATGGGGATGTAACGTACAGCATAGTCAATAATATTGTGATAGCATAGTATGGTATCAGATAGTAGCTGGAATTATGGTGATATAAATTTTAGGTATATAAATTTTGAACAACTACGGTGTACATATGAAACTGATATAATGCTTTTTGTTAGCTATATTTTTTAATAAAAATCTTTTAAAAATAAAATAAAAAATGGAAAAAAGAAATGAACAAGTTCTTGAGGGAATATGGGATACTTCTGGTATTACGACATCATTTTATTTGTAAAGCGAACTGATTTATGATGTTGCAAAGAATAACAGAAACTTTCTTAAATCTTTTAATCCTGAGTCATGTGAGTAAACCTAGAAAATGACTATAACTCTATCAAGTCTTTATAAGGAAGTGAAGTATATTGAATTTTTATCCCATCCAATTTTAGGGCTAAGGATACTTTTTAAAGAGATAAAAACAGTTCATAAATAATTGATCTTAAGTTATTAAATAAAACTGGTTATTCTGCTCATTCTTAGGGCATTTTCTTTTCAAATAAATATAGAGTAAAACCTATCACCACTCTTTTCATCTGAAGTTGAAAAAGCAGAATTAACAGACCAAAATAAGTTTTAAATAAAACTTGGTGAAGAGCACATGAATGTTTGTGCATACACACATACAAACTTGTTTGTACATTTTTAAAATTGATTGACATGTACTTCAAATGGAATAAAGATGTCCATATTAACCTCTCCTTTAAAGAGATCTGAGTAAAAGAATGAGAAACATGTTGGGGAACATCATCCTCCTGTCATTTAACATATACATCAAGTGTGAAAATGTGTCGTGCTCTCTTACCCTATCAACCTAACCCATCTAGCACATCCGTCTAATCCATCTAATGTATTGCATTGCCTCTATCAATATTTGGACCAAGTTAATGTCTTCTGTATTTATAATTGAAACAGAAATTTTAAAGGCAGCCTTAATTGAGGACTAGGAACACGGCAGTCAACAATTCTATCAGTAAAGGAACTGGGATGCATTGTTTTTCAAGGTCTAAAGCAACAATAGCATAAAACATCAAAGAAAATGCAATCAGGATGAGTAATGTAAACTGGTGTGTTTATATCTGTAAGGGTTCAGCCTCCATATTTAAGAAAGAAAAAAAAGATGTAGTAGATCAAATTCAAAACACACTACAGAAGTATATTCAGATATCAAAGACAATTTAATCTATGGTAAAGTCTTCCGTGAGCATTTGATTATGTATTCATTGACAAAAATAAATTTTATAATAAAATTAGTTATAAATATGGTTTGCCTTCCGTAAGAACAGGTTTGATTTTTACTCTTCTTCCTCCTTGACCTATGCTGACAAGGAAAAGGAGGAAATGGAAAGAAGAAGAAAAGGGAGAGAAAGCATTCTATAAAAAGAAATATGGTACAGATTTATGTGAGAAAAAACAGGATCTGTTCTACGTTTTTAATCTTCTGTTTCTACACATGCCATTATATCAGTGCTTCCTGTTTAAACAATCTCTCTTCATAACTGTTTGAAGTCTCTCAATAGACTATTTTAAATATATTGTGACTTTCATTAAGTGCTTGTAACACTGCCCCAAATAAACAGTTTATAAAATATGCTTTATAACTATGCTTTTAGTTAATGAGTATACTAGAAGCTGTTAAAATGAATTCCTTTCAGTTTGTCAGGCTTGCTCAGTACTTATTTTTTTACCTGAAACATTCCCTACTTCCCAGACTCTTTTTTTTTTTTAATAATAGCTCGATGGGTTCTGACTGTCAGTATCATTTATCTGTACTAAAACACACAGATATAATATCTCAACATATCTCTTAATGTTTCCCCCAAATTACCATCAGTGCAAAATTATTTCCTTTAGGGACTTTTTTTTTTTTCCCCTACTCTGCAAACTACTGGAAGCCAGGAGCTGAACATTTTGATCGAATAGAAATTCCAAGGTTTTAAATTTCTCATACTCAGCAAAGCTTCTATTAGCAGTCAGAAAATGTTGCTTCTGATCTTGTTTCTACCTGTAACTAGTTGTGTGGTCTTGGGCAAGTCTTTCAACTTGGCTTCAGTTTTTTAGAATACAGCTTCTATAGTCATATCATTTCTAGGACAGATCATGTTTAAGGCAATTTAGTTTTAAAATGTTCTGACATAAATTATAGTGCTCCATGATCTGGAGCAAGAATCAATCCATTTCAACATTTTGTCATTAAGACAGAGCTGAAAATCCACATTGTAAATGTAGTCATCATAATTGTGGAATCATTCCACAAAAGTACTGACGGTGTTGGCTAAATTTAAATGGTCAAAAATAAAGCTTATTGGGCCTTCTTCATATTGATGTATACACAGGTTTAGATGCATTTTTGAAATTATGTTTAACAAAGGACATTCTGTCTCATAAAAGTTACAAAAATTTAAAATCATTGGTACCCGCATTAAATTACAGTAAAACCAAGTGATTTGCAAAGGGCCATATTGCTGATTATATAATTGTATCTTATTTATAATGAGAAATTTCTATTACAGTTTTATTATCTTAAGTTTTCAATCATTAAAAACATTTTCAATGTAGAGAAACTGTTTCCATCAAGAAAAATTACATTCAAAGTCAGCATACTTACACTGAACATGGAAATCCTATGAACAGTTTAAACCATTGGATTGAATGACCACACCCCAGATATGAACAGATGGACCATGTCACATTAGAAATGGGCTGCTCATAATTACAGTTAAGGAAGGCAAAGACTCCTGAGTGGATCATCTCAGTGATGTTTTCTCTGTCTCATTGAAGCTGTGACCAGCTCACTAAAATCTCAGGTAGAACAAAAATGAGTAAACCCTGACTCGGATAGATCATTCAGGGCAAAGAAATTAAGGGTACCTGACAGTTAGATAAAATGGGATACACTTCTCTGGCAAAGAAGCCTGAACATAATTAACACAGAGATGAAATAATTTTGACATGTTTGTCTCTCTCATTTATAATATTTGCATTTAATAAAATACGTTGGATTCTCAAAATATAACTTCAAGAGAATGATGGATTTCTCCCCAGATAACCTGACTGCAAATCTAACAGATGCTTCCAGATGGATGATGTTACAAAGGGTTGGATTCATATCTCCATGAATTAGATTCCTTTTCTTGCTAGTCATAGCAAGTATAGATTGAGCACGTATTATGCGCCCTGACACTATGCTAAAGCTCTCCATCCACGACTTCATTAAATCCTCATAAACACTCCATGAAATAAGTGCTTTCAGAAAGGGAATCTTCAGGAAGGGATACAAATTTTTTCAAATTTCATGGTGCTAGCAAGTGGTATGTATCCCTGGCAAGTTACTTTTTCCTTTTTTTCTTAATACAGCTGCTTTTCTCCTTCTTCTTTAATGTTCCTCATCATTGCAAATTTCCAAATAAGAAAAATATGGAGGTTACAGAACCCTCAGTCTTGGTTTCTTTCGGCAATACTGAGGTGAAATTTTACTTGAACACCAAACCATTATGTTTCTTAAGTTCCAGCTTTATCACACATGGCTCTTGAGCGTCCCATACAAACTTCTCTCCACCATTGCTCTCTAACTGAAAACCAGATGGACCCGTCTGCTTTGGTTCCCCTGGACCTCCCCCATTAAAACACTTACAGGTACATTTTCAACATTAAAGAACGGAGCAGATGAAACATTTCTAACATTGATTACCCTCCACTATAGAATGAAGATCCCCATTGGCTTGTTTAGACTGGAGCTCCCTGACACAGGAAGGCCTATGCTAGAGAGCTGCCATTTTCACAATTCTCATGGCACAGGAGGCAACGTGTCATGAATTAGGTGGAAAGTAATTTTTAACTTGGAGGTCATTTTAGTTAGGTTCATCTAAGAATTTGAAATAATTATATACTTTTTCATTAAACGAGTATTTGAAATTATGGTTTCTGACCTGGATCTGTTGCTGAAGCAAATTGATTTTGTGTTGTTGCTGCAGAAGCTGCTGCTGTTGTCTCGCAATCTGTGGAGAAATTATACAAGAAAATTTGTAAAGTGTATTGTAGTCTGGGGAGGGGAGGGGGATCACCAATGTTCTGTTTCTCAAAGTGTGACCTGACCTGATTAAGATGGTGCAAACACATGTACTTGTGTCCCTACAGTACCAGCAATTCATCCTTAAGTAGTGTCAAACAAGACATTTAGTATTCAGGAACCATTAAGTCTCATTTGGCTCCCCCCAAAATGAAACCTAAGACAATACAACAATGATACAATCCAGTATGAAATGTTAGAGTTCCAAAAATCGCACTTTCTGGCAATATATTAAGAAGGTATTGTCTCTGACGTTTCAGCTCTTTACTATGAAAGAGAGTACTGCATAAACTTGGGGTTGTCTTGACCAAGGAGTTCAGAGTAGCAGGAAGTATTGTAAGATGCTTGATTCCTTAGTGATGTTTTGGTATTTTTGTTTTGTTTATTGGTAAAATACCGTCCTCATTTCTGCTTCCCACAAACCCCAAAACGGGCCAACTCCTCAATGCATTCAATTCTAGTTTCTGCTCCCGTTTTCTACTAAAATGATTCTTAATAAAGTCACCAGTCACTTCATTTTTTAAATTCTGAAGTGGTTTTTAGTCCTTACCTTTTGACCGTTCATTAGAATTTAACACTTCAGTGTTTTCAATGATCCTGAACTTTCTTCCTTGGCTTCTAGGACATCCCATTTTCTTGTTTTGCTCCTACCTCTCAGTCATCTGCAAAAGCTTTGTCCAGCCACCCAAAGTTGTAGTTTTAGAAGGCTTAATTTTAGGCTCAGTTCTCTTCCTTTTGTACCTACTTCCACGTGTATGCCAAGTGATTATAAATTTGTTTCTCTAGCTTAGACTTTTGCTGTAAGCTTCAGACCCATTTATCCAATGACATTCCCAAAGGTATTTCAGATTCAACAGGTTCAAAACTAAACTCAGGACTTGGCCCTCAATGTGGTCATCTGAAGTGTTTTCTAAGCCAGTGACAGGCATAATCACCCTCTTACTTGCGCTGATAACATCCTCTAACTTAACACATACCATACTATGATTTCATATTTATTTTTGGTTTTGTTTCAATTAATATCTCTGTGTCTCCTAGATAGAAATCCACAAATACAGTGATGTAAGAGATCATGTATACTTCGCTCATCATTTGCAAAAAGCCTGGAGCAAAAGGAGTATAGAATGAAGAGTTGATGAAGAATGATTGATTGAATAAAACGAGAAGAAAATTTTAATGACTTCATTGCATCACATAGGATAAGAAACCTTCCATGAGAATGTAACTTATCACTCTCTTATAAACAAGTGTTACGTCTTATTCTCATCATATTAAAATCACTTTCATGTTCATAAAAAAGTATACCCCTTAACTTCAGTATCAGAAAGCTAAAAATTCAGGAAAAAAAATTTGATACCTGTAGAATATTTTACTGTGAATAAGAATAAAGAACCAATATGAAGGGGATGGGTCTACATGGCTGCACAATTAACTTTTTATTTCCCTTATGGACATTGCTACAATTATGATTTCTTTTATCTTAGGAATGCGGTAAAAAAAATTCATTTTTTCTGAAGAAAGGGAGGAAAGGAAATAGTAGAAAAAGGAATATCACCTTTTCCCTTGAGTCCAGTTCTTTCCCCACATATACCAATATTTCAACTGATACTTAAATCATCTTAGCATCTTAAGAATATATCAAGAAACTAACCACTTCATACCCCTCCACCTCTCTTTCTGTTCCAAACTAGCATTGCATCTTGCCTGGATGGTTCCAAAAGCCTCAGGTCTGTTGTTTCTGCTTCTGCCCTTACTCCCTAAAGCTTATTATACAGCAGCATGTGGAGAGATCCTTTGAAAATATAAATTGTGTCATGTTATTCATCTTTTCAAAACCTTTTGCCTCCTTCAGAGGAAAAGCCAGTGTCCATATGAGGCCCGCAAGCCCAATGTGATGTGGCCTCCTGCTACCTGCCTCTCTGGTTTCATCTCCTCCCTCTCTTCCCTTTGTCACTCTGCACTTGCCACACTGCTCTGCTGTCTCTTGCACACACCAAGGATGTTCCTTCCTCCCAAGGATATTCCAGCCTCTGGGTCTCTGCACTTGCTTTCCCTTCCATCTGAAATACTCTTTTTCTAGATAACTGCATTGCTCACTTCCTTCACCATTCTCCAAGTCTCTGTTCAAATATTACCTTGTCAATAAGGTCTTCCCTGAGCACTCGTTTTAAGAGTCTACCTCTCTACCTGGCACCCTCAGCCCTAAATCTCCGCTTTATTTTTCACCATCATCCTTAACAACATATACTATATTTTACTTTTTTACTTATTGTCTATCTCTTCCCAACCAGAGTTCAATACATGAGGGATTTTTTGTCTCTTTTATTCCTTGTTGTATTCTAGTAACTAGAACAGAACCTGGCATCGAATTGGTGCTCAACGAATATTTGTTGAATAGATGAATGCAGAATAGGACTCAGACTCTGGTGAAAAGGCTGATCAGTAAATAGGTTCATTAGAAACTCTACAGGCTGTAATAGGAAGACTAGGGTGCACAGAGTAGGGACACCCTATACTGAGTAGGGAGTGTTAGGAGGAGGGTCAGAAAAGGAGTTCTCAAGAGAAGATAAGCCTAACCTGAATCTTACGGATTAAATACTAAATGTCCTTCAGAAATTCCCCTTGCCCTGATGAGAAAGTCAGTGACCACCAGTGTGGTGACTGGGTATGCCAGCACTGCATGGTGGAGCGAACTTGAAAAGCAGGCTGGGCTCTAGAAATCTAACCTGTAAGCTGTCATGAGGGATCTTCTCTCAGGCTGTGTAGGCGTCATTACCTGGCATCTCTCCAATACAGGGAAGAAATTCTGGAAGAACTTAAAAATTTCTAGAGTTCCAAGGAGAATGTCAGAGAAAGTAAAAAAAAATCCAAAATCCTTGATGATATTTAGGGATGGACCAGAATGTGAAAGAGAAAGCTAGGAACCTGCTCTGCATTAGTGATTGCTCAGTTTTTTTAGGACAAGTGTGTCATCAAACCCACCGAAGTAGGGATTCCCTACAAAGAAGTACCACTATCAGAGCTACACTTTCAGAGGTTCCAAGAATTTTCCAAATTCAGATGTCTGAAGGTATTGAGAGTTAAAAACACAAGAGTGGTGTTTTTGTAGACTGTCAATGGCAGCCATTCTGAACTGTTGTATCATAGGGGTAAAGCAAGAGAAATGTGGACCACAGTCAGTAACAGGCCAAATATATCTTTAAGGAAAATGATGAAGTGTTTCATTAAAAATAAAATGCCATCTGTCAAGCAGAGATGAACCACCAAACAGAATAAACAAATAAAAGAAGGTCTCCTCAAATATAATCTGAATATTTCTTTACCTCTTTCAACTCTGCTAGTTTACACTTCGAAAGCTGTTTAGAAGGTTTTGCAGTATTTGTGGGGGAACACAAACATCCTTGACTAAATAAATGGTTCTCCTCCATTTAGGATAGTGAGTGGACTGAGCCCAGAACATGAGATGTTACAGGGAGATAGCCCTGGAAAAGATGCACCATCTTTATATGTAAGCTCACCCTATGACACCCTCTACCTTCTCTTATCATTAATAGTTCTTATGCATTGTTACCATTTTCCTACTACATATCAATTGGTCTACATGTCAATTCTCATTGTCTGATTTCTGCTACTAAAGCTCCATAGAAGCCACACTCTTAAAGGCTAATAATGAGACTCTAAATGACAAATCTAGTAGTTCCTTGCTTCTGGACATGATCATTTTCCCCTTTCCCAAGGATCCATTTTCTCATGATCTCACCATTACTCTAATTTAAGGCTATAAACCTGCCATTCCTCTGCATGAAACACTCTGGGCCCCGATATTAATATGGCTGTCTCTTGTGTGTCATTTAGATCTTAGCTTAATTGCCAGATCTAACTACCCAAACTAGGAAACACTGCCTTGCTATCCCAGTCAATAATGATCAAATTCTTCTTCTTACATTTCTTCAAATGACTTAACACTACTTGAAATTATTTTGTTAATTTCTCTTTTGCTTTGTTAATCACCTCTTTCTATTAGAACTTAGGGGTTTTGTCTTTCTGGTTAATTGAAGTAGGCTCAGCAGTGAGCACAGTGCCTGGCACATAAGAAGTACTTGACTACTATTTGTTGAACAAATGAATAAAACTTATTGACTCCAGTGGTTTAAACTACCATCTCTACTGTAGATAATCAATTAGCTCAGTCCTCTCTTCCAAACTGTTGACTGGTATTTACCTGTCTCTCACTACCTCCAGATAGGCAGCCTGACAACAGCTCTAATTCAACAAACTCATAATCAAGCCACCTGCTTTCCCAAAGTTGTCTTCCCCCAACTACCATGTTTCCCCAAAAATAAGACTGGGTCTTGTATTAATTTTTGCTCCAACAATCTATATTTATTCAAATAGTCAGGTCTGGCTGACGACCTTAACTGGGGCTTATTTTGGGGTAGGGCTTATAGTTCGAGCATCCTGACAAATCATGCTAGGGCTTACTTTCCACTTAGGTCTTATTTTCGGGGAAACACAGTATTACTCAAGCTCAAAACTTTTCCTCTCCCTTTTGCCCACTCAAAAAGTTCAATTAACCATAACTCTTCAGTGAAACATCTGCATTGGTCAAGATTGTTATCGCTTTCTTTTTTCCCCATGTTCTTTACCCTATCTAGTTTAGATTCTTACTCATATTTAAAATGTTTTCATACCCTCCTATCTAAAATTCCTGCCCATAATTGAAAATTTACTTCACTTGGTGAATCCTATCTATTCCTATAAGCTCATACCAAACACCTGTTTAATGAAATCTTTAATAATGTCCTCAATTGGAAATGTTCTCTTGACTCTCTATGGTTCTTTTTGGTGTTTCTCTCATGACCTATCAGCGTTTCCCCTTGATTCTAATTACTTCCATTAAACGTACCACTAGTGTAATTGATAACCTTCAGATCAGAGTTTTTGGTTTGCTTTGCTGTTTTGCCTTATTGCAGCGGTTCTCAACCTGTGGGTCGCGACCCCTCTGGGGGTCGAATGACCCTTTCACAGGGGTCACCTAAGACCATCAGAAAACAAAAACATACTTACATTACAATAACTAGCAAAATTACAGTTATAGAGTAGCAACGAAAATAATTTTATGGTTGGGGGTCACCACAACATGAGGAACTGTATTAAGGGGTCACGGCATTAG